TAACGACGACTCTGACGGTTCCTTGAATCGCGTGAACAGTTCTGGAAAGAAGAAAGTGTCTTTCTCGAACTCTAACGTGTCCGAGAGAAGGGTAGATCGAAGTGAGAGTGATTCGAAGTTAATTCTGAAGTCTATCATCAAGAAGAGGAAGAAGAAGACTACGGATCCTCTGAGTACAATTCATTCTTCGAACGACGAGACTGACGACTCTCAGCAAGAAGAAAAGGCTAGTGTAACTTCGGAGACTGATTGGAAAGGCGAGGTACAGTCTATCAGCTCTGAAGAAGCTAGAGAAGATCGAGACTCGGTGGAGATGAAGGTAAATGTTGAACAGAATCGGAAGAAAGTGAAGTTTTCCATGGAAGAGCTGTTAGAAAATACGTGCAGCGAGTCGGACAGCTGTGAGAATGTGGAAGAAGACGAGGAAGAAGAGGAAGAATTTGATCACGGGGGTAGAAGTGTACTGAAGGAGTATCTGAGCGAGGCTGTGACGTTCATGCGAAATTTGAACTCCATCAACGAGTACGTGAACGAAGCGAGCACGGTCGAAAGGTGAGGAACAATCGCGAAGAGAAACATTCTCTTCCCTAGGGTCTCTTTGAAGGGTCGAGGACCACTCGAGAATTCCTAGAATTTCTAGGATTAGAGTTTCACTACGATTCGATTTCTTTTTTTATAATTTACTTTCAATTCAAAATTCGAATAAGAACTGTGCTTCGTCAGGGTGGACTGAAAGGTTCACGGTTTAGGTTTCTTTTTGACTTTTACAGCTGGTGAAGTAGATATGTTTGCAGTGACAGAGAAGAGATGGAAGTAAGAGAAGCGAAAAATGATAAAATACCTCACTGCAAGGACCTTGAATAATTTTCCACTTTTCTCAAATTTTCTCAAATATCTCTACTTCGTTACGTATAAAGAAGAGAAAAAGACGACACAGCCCCAAAGTTCTATTCGTCAATACACATACCTTGACATATACCTTGAAAATTATAAGCACTTGAGAGAATTGAAGAACAAAATCCATAGATCACAGATCACTGTGAGGATCTTGAATGATTTCTGCAAGGACCCTGAATAATTTTTGCAAGGGCTTTGAAACGGCGATGAAATTCTACTCAGAAATTTTCATACACCGTACCTTAAAAATTATAAACACTTAAGAAACTAAAAAAAAAAATGAAATTATCGATTGTTCCACAGATATCCAACGTCGTTATGTCGTGGACGAGGCAGAAGACGAGTCTCAGCTCGTCGAAGAGCCAACTTCTCCACCTGGAATCGCGATTACGAGGAACTCATGGGTCGAAAGGTCCAGCGAAAGGACGCGAGCGACTACCAAGTAGAAGGCGACGATATTATCGTTTCCACGGAGTCCTACGACCGGTGTCTAAAAGGTATCCAACGTCTAGAAGACTGCATTCGAAGGGTTGACAAACACAACGAGCTGCTCCAAGAGAAATACAGCGTCGACTGCGAATCTGCTGGCGCTAGATCGAGTCTAGCGAGTCCAAGCTTAGATCCTCGCGTGCCAACAACGAACAACGACTACGGAACGTATCACGAGACAGACGTCCCTTTAGACGAACCTTCTACAATCACCGATCACAAAGAACACGACAATTTAGAGAAGAAGATCTTCGATCAATTGATGAACGTAGCAAATTCCATACGTTACGGAAACTCCAGCAAACTCCAACCCCGCGTGCCCAAATTATCCGACTCTAGATCGTGGAGTCCGGCTAGTTTCTCGAAATTTAGAGAGAAACACAGTTACGCGGCGAAAGAACCGTTCACCGGAGACGTTAGAGCAAATCTCAGCTTAGAGGAGACTTCTGACACGAACGACGATCAACAAGATTACGCTACCTACGAGATAACAGGCAATTTATCCGTCGGAAGATCTAGATCGATCGAAGGGGACACGGATGAATTGACTTCTATCATGGAGGACGATTTCTTGCCGATAAGAAGCTTCAGTCGATCACCTTCGCGTTTGACCGACGCCGATCGTCCTGGCTTGAGGATAATTAGTCAGAACGACTCGAGGAATGTAGACAATAATGATCCATCGATCGCGAGAAGATTCGTCGGTTCGAAGGGAAGTGTCCCGCTGCAGAGGTTCGGAGAAACGGACGATTACTCGCGAAGGGGGAGGTTTCACTTGTGCTCGAAAGATCACACGGAGATCGAGAGCGAGATCGCGCATCTCAGGGACAAATTGAAATATCCCGGAAGTCCCAGGGCGAGATTCCTCGAGCTTCTGCGCGAGAGGCGGCGGATCGTCGAGTGCAGCCGTGGAACGAGTGCCTCTTGAACGGTTTCCTACTCCTTGCCATTGTAAAATGTATTTTTCTATCGTAACGCGTCGGCACGTCGTCGACGATAAACTAATTTACCCCCTGTAAATACTGGAATCAGACTTTTGTAACGTTTTGCCACCGCACCGATCCGAGCGACGACTATTTTAACTTATTCATCCTGGGAATTGTTTGTTGAACTCGTGTAACTCGCGTTTATGCTATTAAACTGTACTTTCTTTAACGCTTCCGAGTATTTTCTCTCCCTCCTCTGATTTATTTGGTAATTAGGATATTTAACCCTTTGCACTCTACTTGCGTCGGTACTGTAAGGAATGCGAGATTTAGGCGACGAAGTGGTGGCCTGGACTTCGTCACCCAGGGTCACTAGGTGAGGGTGCCATAAACTCAGCCCTTTCTCCGGACAGTCGAACTAGGAGGCTCTAACGGTTTTTCGGAGCAACGCAGGATAGGACGCGGAGAGGACACTCTCGTTATAGCCGTCGAGCAAAATGCCACGATTTCAATTTTCACGGTTTTTCATAGAAAAAGCCACGATTTCGATGATTACACGTCCGTGCACATCTGTAAATATGTAGATATTAACCCTTTCGCCGCTGTTAACGCTTTTCGAGAAGTGAAATTTCCTCGATTCTCGCGAATGTTTCACCTGTTTCTCACCCATCAGAAAGCTCTCCGGGGCGAAAGGAAGCAAGATTTATCGACGCTAACTGCACCGGAAGGTTACAGTTGAAAGGCTGCGTCATTACTGTCGCGGTTATCGCCGATAACATGTGCACGTTCCTCACATGCGTCAGCTCTAGGTTGAAACAAAGCGCGAAACGCGCTCGTAATTCACCGTGGAACTTCCTGAACCGTGAAATCGTCGTTAAAAATGTCTGACGAGCACGATTTTCACACCTGATTTATCATCGAACAAACGCATGTAACAAAGAAGATTAACCCTTTGCACTCCGAGCATTCTTTTTCTCACTTACGCAGTGAAATGTAAGGCGCTGTGCGACGCGCCTGGACAAGTGGGTCCTAGACAAGGACGAGCGCAGGCTGCACCCCCACTCCATGGCTTGCAGGGCCCTAACGGCCGAGGAAGCATACACAAAAGGGGAAAAAGGGCAGCGGCCCACACAATATCGCACCTAGTCATCGACGAGCGAATCGACGTTATTTTAAGCGCCTCTAATTCCTTACTCTTACATATATAAGAATGAAAGTTAAGAAAACAGGACTGTACATATACGATTTCGACTCTTAAAATTCACTAAAAGTATCTACGTTTTCCGCAACAATATATTCCACTCAGAATCTGTGTCCACGTTAATCGGACGTCGCTTGCAAAGGTGTACGTTGAAGGTCTCGGGAAGAGTGGATATGCGTCGTCCTGCCGATCCCTGTCCACCCCTACGCGAACAGGCCCAGTGAAAGTCCCAAAGGGGCGGAGTCACCCCCACCGAGCGCGCTGGGTCTGGCTTCAAGGTGCTCGCTTCACCGTCTTCGGGACGGATTTTCTCACACCACTTTCCTCCTTACTGCTTTCTTCTTGTTCTTAAAACTACACGCTAAGTTATAACTGCGAGCGCGCTGGGCCTGGCTTCAAGGTGCTCGCTTCACCGTCTTCGGGACGGATTTTCTCACACCACTTTCCCCCTTACTGCCTTCTTCTTGTTCTTAAAACTACACGCTAAGTTATAACTATTATTCTTAAAAGCTACACATAATTCGCACACACACACACACCGAGTCAGCATTCGCCAATCTGAGAATCGTCCGAATAAACTTTGTTATTGAAATGCAAACTGGCGAAGACTTTGCTCCCCTCGCGCAATGTTTACAAACTGAATAATTATCGCTCTGTTAGATAAAACGATATGTCAATGGATGCTGTAAAGTCCCGACACGTGACATCGGCCACGATAAACTTCGCGGAACGATGATCGACGAGAAATGTTTTCTCGTTAAATAACGTCGTATCCACGAATCGAATTAGCCTCGTCAGATAAAAACCACGTAATCCTCCGTTGCTCAAGGTTTACCAGCGGACAACGGCAATTTTAAACATTCCACAAAACGAATCAGACGTCGAGAGAGCAAAGGTAATCGGGCGAACGAATCGCGGAAAAATAGACAGTATGACTAAAAGATCACACAGAGCGTCTGAGGAGGCTACGATAATTCTCCAACCTTATCGAGCTATTCCCACTTTTATCATTCACACTCAGGGGTTATCTTGCCGCTTCGGGACCAAGTGTCTCCATGATTCACGAGGACCAGTCGGTTTTAGGGTGTCCACGAGTGGAGAGTTCGCTGTTCGCCAAGCAGAAGATTCTCGATTCTCCGATCGAAACAGAGAGAAAATGGTTTGTTTATCTGTCGAACACGGAACAAACACGCGTAACCTCACGAGACCGCGCAAACTCGCGCGAGCGAGTGAAAAAAATCGGCCGTTTCGCGATTAAACGGAATCGGAGTGGAATTGTTGCTAGAGGAATTAGTGGAAACGCGGTTGTTATTGCGAGGAAGAGGAATTATTGCAGTCACGAGACTTTCTACCGACTTGGTATTCACAGGAAAGAGAAATGAGGTCGTAGGTCGCGTGTGATAAGGACGAGCGTCGCGCGACGATACGCGCGGCATTTCGAATATAATTGCAGAGACGCGTCTAACCGAGGATGCAGTTGATTTTTCGCTCGCGATAGGACGATCCACTGATCATGAGAGATCTGAACAGGAAGCTGAACGGACAGGGTTTCGATCTGATCGCCGAGAGCAGAAGGAACGACCATCGCGACACTTTTCACGTAATTTTTACGTCACCGTGGCTGTTCGGAAATCGTTCGCGGCGAAGGATTATAGTTTTGAGATACGACGGCGATTAGGACGGTCGATTGAGAGGATTTTACTCCGTTTCGCGAGATATTGTTGTACTGTTTCGAGTTACAGGCGCGTTTGACATCGATACCATTGATTCTTATCGTGCACGGTTTCAATAAGATCGAACGTTGCGTCGAGACGAGAGGAGAAGTGTCAAAGGATGACGATCGTTTCTGTCTACAGAATGACGACGGCCTGGTCGATCCGTTCTGCGTCGAGGGGAACCCTCACAAGATCACCTTTGAGGATATTTCGTCGGCTGCCTTTAAGATCAAGTGCGGCGTTATCAATACTCCTTGCGTGGTATGAATTTTTGTTATGGCTCGATCGTGGGATTAACGACAGATGTGATGCATTTTGTAGAGGAATTATTGTGTAATTTGATGATTATTGCAAGTGATTTATACGTTGTATACTAGGTGGTCTCGTAAGTTCGTGCCGAAAGCGAAAGATATTTTGTATAGCGTCTTGCTAAAACATTGGGAAAAATTTCACTAGGTGGTCTCGTAAGTTCGTGTCGAAAGCGAAAGATATTTTGTATAGCGTCTTGCTAAAACATTGAGAAAAATTTGTGGGCACTTACGTTTTTCTTTTCTCATATTTAGAGGTTCGTTGGAAATATTGTTCGTGCCGGAAGTGAAAAATATTTTCTATAGCGACGACATAATGGTCTTACTAAAAAATTAGCGAAAATTTGTGGGATGAGAAGGCACTTCCTTGTTTTTTCTCAGATTTAAAGGATCGTTGGAAACATAGATCGTGCTTTACTAAAAAATTAGGAAAAGTTTATGGGATGAGAAGGCACTTCCTTGTTTTTTCTCTCAGATTTAAAGGATCTTTGGAAACATAGATCGTGCTTTACTAAAAAATTAGGAAAAATTTGTGGGATGAGAAGGCACTTACGCTCTTTTTCCCTCAGATTTAAAGGTCCATTGGAAATATCGATCTGAATTACAAAACTCGACACGAACTTATGGGATGACATAATACAACGACGATTACGTTTACGTTTCTCTCTCAAATTTGAAGGTTCGTTGGAAGTATCGATCTAAATTACAAAACTCGACACGAACTTACGCGATGACATAACAGAATGACGATCGATCACAGAGAAAAATGTCAAACGATCGTGTTTCCTCGTTAGAAATCTCGTCTCTCGGACATGTTCGGCATGGACTTGTACCTGAAGAAGGACTTCCTCCAGGTCACAGGAAGTTTCAAGGAACGCGGAGCGAGATACGCTTTAGTGATGCTGACAGAGGAACAGAAGAAAATCGGCGTGATATCAGCTTCGTTGGGTAACCATGCTCTTGCTCTCTGTTATCACGGTTACAAGCTTGGAATACCGGTGACCGTGGTGATGCCAGTACTGGCGCCGATTATGAAGATCGCAGCCTGCCGCCAATACGGCGCTAATGTGATCGTCGATGGACTGGATATGGGCGAGGCGAAAAGTATCGCCCTTCGATACGCGAAGGAAAAAAAGCTGATGTATATAAATGGGTGAGACATTATTCATAATCGCGGCACACGTGGCTTTCTTCGTTGTTCAAAGTTTCTGTATTTTATTTTTAAAGAATATTCAAGATTTCTTCCTTCCAACAGGGTTTTTCTCAGGTTTGAGGGTCCTTTACCTTAATTTTCCTCTTTAACCCTTTCGTTACCAGAATTGTGTTATTTTTCAAATTAAGTGTTAAAGAAATGTGTATTAATGGGTAAGGCATTATTGATAATAATGATACTTGTTCTATTTTATTTTGAAAAATATTCAAGATTTCTTCCCTCGAAGACGATTTTCCCAGCTTCGAAAGAAATACTTGCGGGTCCTCTTTCTTAATTTTCTCCTTCAACCACTTAACTTATTTCGCTACCTGTGGAGCACAACTCGAAATAGAGTTTTATAAAAAAAATCTCAGAGGATTGATCCTCCTCTCCGAAAATTCGCGAATTAACAGAATTGCATTTATCCTTCAGATACGACCATCCCGATATTATGGCAGGTCAAGGAACGCTGGGTCTCGAAATCGTGCAAGAGGTTCCCAATATCGACGCAGTGGTAGTTCCTGTAGGAGGAGGTGGCCTAATTGCGGGTGTAGCTTTAGCCGTGAAAACTCTCTTTCCAAACGTAACGATAATTGTACGTCGTTATCCTTCCATTTAAGCTTGTATCTCTTTCTCTACATACATATATACCTTGTCCTACGAGAATTATCAATTTCTTCGATTTTTGTCGCCTACTCGTACTTATCATTTATCGATCATTTATCAGAGCTGTTCTTTCTCGCGTGTATTCACAGGGCGTCGAGTCAGAAAGGTGTCCCAGTTTCTCTGCGGCACGGAAAGCATCTCGACCGATCTACACCCCCATAGATTCCACTCTGGCTGATGGTCTGGCGGTTCCTATGGTGGGATACAACGCCTTTGCCACCGCGAACCCGCTTATCGACAAATTGGTCGTGGTGAAGGAGGAGTGGATTGCCATTGCGATCCTGAAGCTGGTAGAGAACGAGAAGTGTATTGTCGAGGGTGCTGGAGCCACTGGCCTGGCTGCCATTTTGGCTGGTCAGTTAGAAGAGCTCAAAGGGAAAAGGTTGTTTGATCTTACTCGATGTTACTGTGCAAAGTTCATTCAGGAGTAGAACCTCTCCTGGCTTTGTTTCGTCTTTTCAAGATGTTTGAATATTTTTGCGAATGAAACACTCGCGTATTATCATCGATACTTCATTTTTTTATGGTGCTGTGAGATAACGGGGTGGTCCACCGGTGGGTCACTTAATCTTTGACTCATCGGGGGGTCACACTGACTGTTCAATTTTTGATCTATCGGTTACACAGTCTGGATTGTGTTAAGCATTCAAATTTCAATTTCTCGTGCCTTTCATTCTCGTTTATAAATTACGTGACCCATCGTGGGTCACGTTGGCAAGTAAGACCAGTGGGTCACGCCATTCAGAACGCGTGAAGAACTCAAATTTCACTCTCACGTGCCTTTCATTCAAATTTCACTCTCACGTGTCTTTCATTCTCATTTATAAATTACGCGACCCATCGTGGGTCACGTTGGCAAGTAAGACCAGTGGGTCACGCCATTCAGAACGCGTGAAGAACTCAAATTTCACTCTCACGAGTCTTTCATTCTCATATATAAATTACGCGACCCATCGTGGGTCACGTTGGCAAGTAAGACCAGTGGGTCACGCCATTCAGAACGCGTGAAGAACTCAAATTTCACTCTCACGAGTCTTTCATTCTCATATATAAATTACGCGACCCATCGTGGGTCACGTTGGCAAGTAAGACCAGTGGGTCACGCCATTCAGAACGCGTGAAGAACTCAAATTTCACTCTCACGAGTCTTTCATTCTCGTCTCCAAAAACATCACTCCAAATATCTCCCTATTTCCGGCAATTTCCACCTAACGACACTTTCCTAAATTACTTCTCATCCCATTTCAGAGTGGTCCTTCCGCTGTGCGGAGGAAACATCGACACTACAATATTGGGAAGGTGTTTGGAACGGGGTTTAGCTGCAGAAGGCCGCCTCCTCAAGTTCACCGTGACCGTGTCCGATCGACCAGGCGGAATCGCGGAGCTCTGTCGAATGCTGGCCAGCATCGGTGTCTCGATAAAGGACATCATGCACGAGCGGCCGTGGATCATGTCGGACATCTTCAGCGTGGACGTGAAGGTGGTCTGCGAGACCAGTGACAGAGATCACGCTGAACAGCTGAAGGACATGTTGTATCAGAATTATAAGAGGGTCGTATTCGGTACCGAAAACATCTCCACTCCGGACGAACCCTTGAACACGGACACGCGGAGCAGCGAGAACAAAAGTATTTCCAAGGATTTGTTGACTCATTAGAAGTGACGGGGATCGTGGATTCTGCGATGATCGATTATTTATGAATACGTATAATTCAAGGCAATTATTCTGGTAATTGATACCCAGGAATATTCGTAAGTTAGAGGTATATCGTTGCTTATAAGTATTGACAGGTGTATACCCTTTATTCTAGACAATTTTCACTTTGGAAATCTTCCAGGAACAAATCGCAGATTTCACTTGTTCGATCTGTTAATTAACCCTCTAGAACGCCGTGAGACTTGCAAGTCACTTACTTATTTATCCATATTCTGTAATTCTCGTTTAATTTGTTTATTGCTGTGGTATTGCATTTTATAATAATTATCAATACTTGCTGCTACTAATAACATATAAGATTGTAATTAATCGTAAATGTTTTTTTCGATGAACGAAGAAAAATCGGGCTACAGAGGGTTAACTCGTTGTTAGAATATGCTAGTTTATTTATTCAGGGAACTTTAATATTAACTACATCGTTATTAGTATAAAGTAAGATTCATAAAATCAGGTACAAGAAGCAAAGAGACAAAGTGTCGAATAACTGAATAAATCAAAGAGAAATTGTGTGGACAATTAAAAAATCCACTCATTCAAGAATACTACTCATTCAAGAATTCTACTCATTCAAGAATTCGACTCATTCAAGAATTCGACTCATTCAAGAATTCTACTCATTCAAGAATTCGACTCATTCAAGAATTCGACTCATTCAAGAATTCTACTCATTAAAGAATTCTACTCATTAAAGAATTCTACTCATTCAAGAATTCTACTCATTCAAAAAATCTACTCATTCAAAAATTCCACTCATTCAAAAATACTACTCATTCAAAAATTCTTCATTCAGGGAACTTCAATATTAATTACATCGTTATCAGTACAAAGTAAGACTCAAGATCAGGTACAAAGAAGCTATTAACAATTATCGAACGAATAAACTGAATAAATCAAAGAGAAACTGTGCGAGTAATTCAAATTCTACTCGCATAACTCCAATTACAGCTGCCTTATTCCTCCACACGAGTGGAGTTTATATGTATCAATAAAGACGACGTAGCAGCAGCAACAGCAGCCATGGCTGCTCTAAAAAGCGAACTGGTCGCGTTTCAAACGAGCATCCCTCGCGTAGTTTGCATCGGAAGGAGGGAGGGGATCGATGGCCCGAAATTCGAGAGCTGGGGCTGTACGCAACGCGCGTTACGCCGAGGTGTAAACGTACACCCGCGAAATTTATTACCGCTATACCGAGAGTAGCGAAGAGCGAGAGAAAACGAGCAGAATTCGAGCCCCGCCTGTTTCCGTATGCTTTTCAACGTCGCCTCTGCTGGTAGAGTACGTGTTGCTTCCGTTTCCATCGTGAATGTGATCAGTTCCTTTTTTTTTTTTCCTGCGTAAGCGACCGATCGTAAAGCCGTCGTTTACGAGCTTGATTACGATACCCAGCAGCCCTTATTGCGCGTGTTTGGACAACTTTTCCACGCCCAAATTACCGCGTGTCATACTAAACGGAACCATGTCGAATTCGACCCAGATATAAATTCTCGCAATTTTGCGAAATTACGATTCTTATGAGTAGAGCGTGGGAATTAATTTGTCGTTAAGCTGGCAAAGCTATTTTTCAGGAATTTAAGTAAAATTTGTGCGTGTGTTACAGTTAACGAGATCAGAAGGGAAGGTATAGAAATTTTGTATTTCTGCGTTTGGAAAATTTGGAAGAATACAGTGTTCTTATTGCATATTTTCTTTGCACTGTGCTGCTAGCGCCCTTTCACGCAATTTTCACAGTAACTTAATCCTTAACTTTTGTTCTTTGCATACTTCTGCCTTAATTTAATAAAAAGTTAAAAACGACGTGGAGGAAACAAAAGATTTGGCAAAGAAAAGATTGAAATCCGCCGTAGCGAAGGGTTGAAGCATTGATCTCACTGTATCGCTTCCACCGACTATACCATATGATGCGCTAGAGCCTTGTTTTGCCCATTTCTGCCCTTTCTGCCCTTTCTGCCCACGATGCGCCCGCAGGAGCTTCTCGTGGTCACAGATCTGTTCACCCTTGAGCCTAATTCTTCTGCTGACCTAAAGAATCACTGTAGGCGCCTATTTTAGCACTTATTAGTTACTTTTATCACCTATTCAGGAGGACTACTCATGGTCCAAAAAGTTCACCAACTCGCCAACAGTGTCATAGCCTATTTCAAAAATTTTACTGTAACTCGACAAACTCTCGACGGTCTCGTGACCACTAACCACTCTTCGAAACGAATATTAGCGCGTCAGAGTAAAACCTAGTCGCTATACCAAAAAAATACGTATCCTAGCAGTCGTAAAAAGATGGCAAGATAGAGGTTCGGCAATCGCGCTCCTCTTAAACGCGAAACTAAAAACGCACCGTTGTATTAATGACAACGATTGTGGGTCGGAATACAGACTTGTTTACACCACTTTTGCCGAGAGAATAGCGGTGAAACCGGGTCACTGTATCGCGCAAATATTATTCACAAGCTACCGTGAAAATATACGACACTTTACGCACGAGATGAAACTGGGCCGCGAGGAAAATATTTACGTTCGCAATCTCTTCATTGACTGCCGGTACAGATAAGAGTAGACAAGGTTCATTGATAAAATCGAAACGATTATAACATCCCGCCGTATCCCTTCGATCAACTATACCTCCCTCTCTCTCTCTCTCTCTCTCGACACTGGTTAAAAAACTCTTTTATACCCCGAGCTTACAAGCTCATCTCCTTCGTCTCTTCCACGAGAGAGAAACCAATCTCGTTATTTCTTCTTAGCCTAAGTAAATTTCGGTCCAGGAGGAAGAGGAATAAAGAGAAGAAGAAGGAAGAAAAGTTCACCGTGTCACGATAATATTATTTCACCAGGTCCTGCCTTCTTAAGGCAGGGAATCTTAATATTCCCCCCCCGGTCGGATCAATTTCAACGCGGTTGGCGCAGCGAAAGAAAGGGAGAAAAGAAGGGAAGAAGAAGTAGAGGAACACCTTCGGTACACCGTCTTACCTGCGAGATAAATTTCGCCGAAGGAGGGACATACTCGTGCGTTTTTCGCGTTTCCTCGCGCACAAGGGGGCATTTCCATGAAGGACGCGGCTGTCAGGGGATTAATGTATCTTTACGACAGGGAGACGCTCGGTTTCGTCGCGTTACACGCCCGAATAATATATCGCGGCCGTTCTCACCAGAGATACTCCAAGGTGGAAGCTAGTGAAAAGACCGACTTCTCGGGCTCCCTTTTCAACCTTGGCTCACAATACGTGACGATATGTCACCTTTCTAATATCGGACTGCTCCGGATGAATTATGATATGTGAACCGTCCGCACACAACCTGAGGGAAAAGGCTGTGCGAGACGATGAAAGATCCGCGAATCTTTTCTCTTCTCTTCTTTTCGTCTTTTTGCACAAGGCCTCTCGGCGCAGACACCGAGATGGAAACACAGAGGAGCAAAGGGAAAATGGAGGAAACTGGAGCAACATTGTGCCACAGGGTAGACTATGGCTAGTGAAGAAGCTGGAGAGAAAGAGAGAGAGAGGGGTGGAACTTTTTGTTTGGGTTCGCTGGTGGCTTCATTAGTTTGATTGGGAATTTTCTGACTGGGGTTCATGGGAAAATTACACCCCCGCCTTATGGTTGGAGTTCTGATAACGTGTTAGATAAGAAGTTAAAATACTGTGCAAGAGGATCACTTCAGAATTTATCTCAGAATCTCAGAATTTATCTATTTTTTGATACGACAAGTTCCTACACTTCGTTACATAAAAATTCATTTCATTTCTTTTCCTGACTACGCATCTAAGCGTCGGCCATTTACTGTTTTTAATCCTGTATTAACCCCTTAACCTATGATTTCTTTTCTAACTATGCGTATAACTGTCAGCCATTTAATGTTTTAGTACTATATCAGGTAACGAAAGCTAATCTGTTACAGATTAATTACATTTAGGAATCCTTAATTTTAGAAATTAAAACGAAAGTTAGGATTACAATGAATTTTTCTTACTAATATAACTATTTTTGTCATATCTTGACCAGAATCTCTGTCACGAGTTTGACACGTTGCTGTAAGTTAAAGGGTTAAGTAAGAAAAGCTGATGTATCGTAGACTAATGAAATTTCGCAATCTTCAGTTTTACAAATTAAATTGAAAATTCGAATTAACCCTGCGTTCTTTCGTTCGACTGTACACTTGAGGTTTTCGGGTCTTTTTTGACCCAAAGGTCTTAGGTGTACCAATTTTTGTTACCAGCACGCCATATGAACTCAGGTAATGAACTGTCGATGTAACGTTAAGGGAACATAAATTTGATAACAGCAAAAGTAATTAAAAAGATAAGAAGGCGATGGGTCAAAAAAGACCCGAAGACCGTTAAAATTAATTTTTCTCACCGAAGTAACTGTTTTCATCAGATCCCGAGCAAAATCTGTGGCACGAGTCTGACTCGTTCTTATAGGGGTAAAAAGATAGCGATGTGTAGACCCTTCCAACCCCTCAATCAATTTTCAAAAACCAATTCCACCAAGAAAATTCCTTTTTTATCTGTCGCTCGAAAAATGACTAAACTTCGTTCGCGCTGTTCTCACGAAGCAACACAATTATCCTACTCAAGAGGCTCGAAATGATTAACGGCGGCGCAACCTTTCCTACGTCTCCCTGGCTAAAGGTAACTGCCTTTTGACCGAGATTCAATTTACACGGGGCTCAGGGAACGTGGATTAAGAGCGGCCAAAGTTTCTCCGAAATTTTTCCCTCCCCTCTGCCGCGTACTTTTTCCATCGCGAGAAACTACGTCGAAACGAAAACGTAGAAAGGGAGGAAGAGAGAGAGAGAGAGAGAAAGGTAGGTAG